ATTAGACTGCTATTAATATAGTAGAGGCGCTATAGACTAATATCTTCTATACCTATTAGGGGATCCCTAAGGGGATAGTATCTAATCGTAGATCGATACTAATATCGCACTATTAGAGCGAAATATGCCTATAGCTAAGACTAAAGCATCGGCTATTAATAGCCTTCTATCTACAAACTAACGGTTAAACAGAGAGGCAGAATGCTACCCTATAGCAGTACCTGCGTAGCTATATTAATAAGAACCCCGAAGATTAGGTTAACCTCCTATAACTAGCTAAATTCGTATATAATAATAGTGTCTACTTATTAACTAAGGTTTTACTATATATAGCTATAATAGGCTAAAACGCTACTTTACTATAAGACCTACTAACGCTCGAGGCCGAGCGTAAGGAAAGGGAAGCGCGTTAAGTACTAGAGACACTAGCGGTAATAGAACGTGTCTAGAAGATGCGAGAAATCTATACTAAGATAGCTAAGAAACTAATAAAGGCTTAAGAGTACTAAAAGACCTACTACGATAAGCGTTATATACTAATAACCTTTAAATAAGGCGATATAGTTATACTTAGTACGAAGAACCTCCGTATCCGTAAGTACCTATTACCTAATAGCAAAACAAGGCCTAAGCTCGTACTAAGATACATTAGCCTATTCCGTATTCGAGAAGCTAAGGGCATATAGGCCTACTAACTATAGCTTCCTCCTTATTATACTATCTATAATACCTTCTACGTATCCCTCCTTAAACTATATTACTAGCGCGAAGGCGATAAAGCGCCTACTAAGTTAGAAGAAGTCTTAGCCGATAGGGAAGAGCTATAGTCTATAGAACGTATTCTAAAGCATCGGACTAGACAAGGCAAGAAGGAGTACCTACTAAGATAGCAAGGCTATTTACCCGAATAGGACTCGTAGGAAGCTAAAGGTTCCTTTAAGGATATAACTAAGTTATTAGATAAGTATTAGACTAGTATAAAGAACAAGAAGAAGACTAAGGGCCTATAATGTTACTAGAAAGGCCTAGGATTAATGCTACCCCTAGGGTGCTATTAGCTAACTAATTAGAGGCAAGCAATTGTTAGCAACAAGGGACAATAAGACTATACTACTATAGAATCTACCTCTTTACTAGCGTACCCTATAAGACCCTTCTCTTAGCGCCCCCTTTTATTCCTTTATTCTACCGAGGCCCTAAGGCCTAAGCGATCGATAAGGGCGATGCGCGCGCGCGTACGAATAATAGTAATAGAGATAATAGTGTCGCGCTATAAGCTAGCAGTATACCGGCGGCCGGCGCGGCTATATTAGTAATAGTATTATAGAGTATATTGCTACTTAAAGAAGGAAAGATACGGCTATATTAGTAACGGTATTGCCGAGTTATTATTAGTTAAAGAAGGAAATTAGAAGTAAGGTAAAGTTAGCGCTAAGACGGCTAGCGCCGCTATTATTAATATTACTTGCTATTATTACTACGCCTATAGATACAACCTTACCTATACTACGAGCCTAAAGCACTATACTAACTAAGTTAAAAGATTGAACCTACTAAGGGTTTAATTAAAACTTTAAGCCGCTTAAAAGATTAAGTAGGCTAACTAAGGGCAAAAACTATAGAGCTAAGCTAGCCGGGGTCGATCTTGTAAATAATAGGTTACTCCTCGATCTTTCCGACCCTTTAAGCGAGGCAAACCTTAACTATTATACTTATAATAGCCTTTACTTATAGAAACTAGACGGACTGTGTTTTTTGAAAAGATAAGATAAGATTGACAATTAAAGGCTACTAAACCTAACTAATTAGAGCTAGTAAAACTACGATAGTAAATAATAGCTCTTATAATAATAAGAATAATCCCTCGGAAGCAGATAAACCCTCGGAAGCGGACATTTCTAGGTCTTTTAGAGTAGACGCAAAGAACTCGGATAACCTTACTTAGAACGGGGGTAGTACTGCAATACCCCGTATACCTACCTATTATAGTAGGGAAGGTGCGCTCGTATTGTAATTAGTTACTAGCCTTTAATTCGTATAGCTATATAACCCCTTATTATTACTATAGTAGCAGTAATAGCGCAGTTAGAAGTTAGACATTGTCGGAGGTAAGGTTTAATATAGTTATATAATTAGGTAGTTAAGCGTTTAATTTAGCGCGGCTAAACAGCTTAGTTAATCTGCTAAGTTAGCGGCAACGGAGATTAGGTTAGAATATAGACAGGCTACGAGGGCGCGGCCTTTAGAAGGGAAGCGTATATTAGAGGTTACACGTAATTAGTATGTAACTAGACTAAGTAAAGCTAGGGTCCTAATGCCTTAGGCAGGGCTTAGCGCTTAGCGTTAGGCTAACTAGCCTACCTTCCTCCCTCTCCTTTTAGATCTTTATTAAATACTACACTAATTTACTACTACCCTATCTACCTGCTAATATAACCCTTCTTATACTATAGGCGCCGCAATCGAGGCAGTAGGGTAAAAGACTTTCTTATTAACGCTCGTAGGTATAGCGTATCTCCTAAGTAGGTTCTTAAGATAACTTTTAATTACTTTGTTAGCGATAGTAAGTTATTAAAGATAGGTCTACTTATCCGCGATATATATAACGAATAGACTAAGATAAGAGCGCTTAATTTAAACGGTTATACGCCTATTAATCGAGTACTTTAGATACTCGAAAAGGACGGCTTCTAGTACGATTATATAGCAGACGACGATTAGCGACTTACTACCTTATTCTTCGCCTATCTAGATATAATCTAGATCTATAAAGAGGCCGGTTATATCCTTATTATTAACTATACTTGTAAGTAGCAAGAAATAGCCGTATTTCTAGTACTTACTAACCTTAATCGCAGATAAGACGAACAAGTATAAATTGCCGCTCCTTGCTATTAACTTTATAACTTCTATAGACTAGACCTTTCTATTAGTATACTATCTAATACCCGGCGAGAAGGAGCGCGATTATCGCTTCGCTTACGAGTATCTTAATCGTATATCTAAAGAGTTAGAATTAGACGAGCTAGCGGTTATATTCTATAATAGAGACCGAGCGGAAATAAACGCTTTAGAGGTTATATATCTAGGCGTACTAAACTACCTCTATACTTAGTATATAAATATAGACGTTAAGGCGTACGTAATGTCTAAGCTCGGTAGAGTAAGTATTAATAGACGCTATTAACCCTAGGAAATAGTAGAAGACTTCCTTAGCTTCTATCGACGTTATATTAACTCGCAAACGGAAGCCGAGTTTAACTCTAAGTCTCTAACTGCCTAGAATTAAAGGAATACGTACTATAACTGCTATCTTAGCAAGAGTGTATTATCTACTTTAATAAGCAATAGTAGCCTTATAAGACGAAGTACGTAAAGGCCTAGACTAACGATATTCTTTACTACGGCTTCTAGACAACCTCTCCTACTAAGAGTAGACACGCTAGACTTAAAGGTTAGTTAGGCTCCGTACGTAACGATATCTTTACTCTTATTATTAAGATAACGGCCTTCTTTAACGTATACTCGCGGAGATATACTATAATAAAGGGCAGGCTTTAAAATACTATATCTACGGCCTTCTTAGATAAGCCGCTATTATAGAAGCTTACTCTTACTATTAACAACAAAGGCCTTACCCTCTTCTACTAGTAATAAGGCAATATTAAAGCCGAGTTAGCTTAGAAGAAGTTAAATCCGGACTATATAATATCTACTTGCTTATATATCTTCTAGAAGACAATAGGTACGTCTTATAGTTACGAGATATTAGTATATTGCTATTTGTTAATAGACGTATACTAGCGCCTATGCCGCTACTAGACTTTTTTAATGCCTTCTATTATATACTAGGCGGACACTTACCTAAGCGGCTTGCTAGTCGAGTTATTAATCTATAAGTTAGGTACTATAAGAGACAACTTCGCGCTTAGCTTTTATATACCGCGAACACTAGTAAATACGGCACTTAACGAGACCCTTCGAGATACGAATATATATGCCCTAAATACGCGCTAACTGCTACTTAATTAGCACGCCGTAACGGTAAACCTGTCCGTCTAATTTAGGCTAATATAGCGACATAATTAACTTAGTAGAGGCTAAAGGGTTATAGCTATAAACTAACTAAGGGTAGGTACTATAGCTCTAGTAGTTATAGTTATAAGAAGAATGGGTTGGGCTCTAATAGATACTATACCTTCTATTACTATAGCGATAACCTATACGACAATATAGATCTAGCGATAGTAAAGCTAATAATGTAGTAACTAGCCGCTAAAAAAGATAAGATTAATAAGTTAACGAAGCTAGTTAAGCGATAGCAATAATAGTTATAAGGCCTTCTATAAGAGACTACGTAGTAAGGCCTCGTTTCTAACTAACTTCTTTACTATTGGCCCTAGTAGCCGTACTAGGCGATACTTCTGCCCTCTATACCTACTCCTATATACCCTTAAATATACTAAGTTTCGTACTATATTAGAGCTTAGCAAGAGGTAGGTTATATATAGCCGTATACGTAACAAGGACCGAGAGCTAATCTATAGAGCTATAAGAGGCTTTAGTAACTATTCTGTAAAGGAAACTACGCTTTAGGATACCTATATAGATAAGCTATACTTCCTCTATAATCGAGGGTATATATACTAAGTTTATTAGGCGGATAGGGTACTTAGGGAGGAGTAGAAGATAAGGAAACTAGGTATTTACGAGTAAATAACCCTCCGCGGAGCTAGTAGTAAGAGAGACCTCTATTTAGCTAAGTTTAAGTCGATAGATTAGCGGAACTAATAAGCGGGCTTTAGCTACCCTTATATATTAACTATTCTATAACTATATAAGATATTATTATTAAATTAAAGATATATTAAGGTATAATACTTACGACCCTTAGCGTACTTTACTATATATTAATATATAGTATTATTATCGAGTTATAGAGGTTTAAAGGTCTTAGAAATTGAGTGTTATATTCTACCGGGTATACCCGCGCCCGATATCTAAAATTCTCGCTCCCGACATTTATCAAAGCCCGTTATTACGGCGACTCGGCGAGGTTGATTTAGGCTTCACTTGAATTAATGGCTCCTCTACTTTATTTGCCCACCCTCCGCAGAATACCGTACGTACTCCCTCCTTCGCTTCGCTTCGATCTTCCTCCAGCATCCGCGAAAATAATGCTTTATCCCTTCTGCCGTCTTGACTGTTGAGACAGTCGGCCTGCGGGCCCTTATACCCCCGATCGACTCTGCGTGCCAGTCACTACCCACAGGCAGCTCGAACCAACATCACCCCTTCGACCATCCCAACTTCTCGAATAATGTCTGATATATGAGCTCTGGAAAAGCAGACTCGATATCTTCAAGCTGAAAAAGACCGCGGCTGTGATTCTCTATTCTATGCAAAGGATCGCGCTTAATAGGCACATGCCAGTGGAATACTGCTGCCGCTTCGAAATAATGAGCAGTCGCTTGTTTCAAATCTCTATTTGCCGTCACATCCCTCCATGGCCGGGATTCAGCTGAAACATGACCAGGACGTGCCGGCGCCATGGAGCCTCTGCAGGCTATAATTATATATTCCAGTTTTTGTCATCGATTTCCGCTAAATTCTGAATAATGAGCGGCGTCTTCGTACTGGCACGAGATTGCACCCTGGTACCGAAATGGCCTTTGGTGCCTCGGTAATGGTCTCACCATCGAGACACCGAAGTGATGATAAGGCGAGGGAAGGCAGCGCCTCGATGTGTGGTTCTCGTTCGCGGCCAGCCCTAGAATAGGCATCCTGACACCTGTACTTCTAGTCGTGCTGGTGTAGACCCATTATTGGCATGATTCCCGTTTCGTTGAAGCTGTGAGGACAGCAGAAGCACTCCTCTTCGACTTTATTATTATGCAGACATTCCGCGGCAGGTCCGTACTGACAAGCACACTCGTTGAATACAAGAGATTCTCTCGATCATGTACGCCCTTCGGCGCGTGTCATTCGTTTTGCTGGTAACCAGAAGTATCGAAGTCGCCGCTTTTGGATATCTGGCCGATGGCGGCGGTTCTGGGCACAAGCATATGTTCCATCACCAACTGCAGCAGTATGCAAAGCGAGCAGCAGAGAACAACGAGAAGCCCGATCTGGAACAGCTTCTAAAGCGAACCGAGGAAGACGAAGAGATTGCTAGAGAGTATAAGCGCCAGCTACCCGATCTTGTAAGCGGCGTACTTGGATCTTTGACTTGGAGTGTATGCCCAGGTGTCAGGGTCCATCACGTGCCTGATGCCTGAGGCTGCAACTGCTGCACTCTATCTTCGGACTTCTATATAGATTAGTCCTTCTTCTAATACATTAGTTACATTAAGTGGTTATAAGCCCCCTGCGTTTCTAACGCATATAACACGTTTACTACGTATTCTAATAGTTACTCCGATAGCTATATAGCTAGTACTTGTTACTAAAAATTACGCCGATACTATTATCGTCGCCGCTACTCTCGAGGGTTCTAGTAGGTGCTAGTCCGACTCGAGTTATTAGTATTAGCTATCCGCTATATTAGTATTAGCTGTCTGCTATACTAGAACGTAGGCACGCCTATCGGCGGCCTCGTTATATTCTTAAGACAAGTCTATAGTCTCTTTTTATATTAATATCGCCGTCGCTATCTGCAATAGCTCCCCCTACAACTTCTAACGCTTACATAAGCAACATCCCTAAGCTAAAGAATAAGGAGAATTATCTAGTATAGGCCTATACCGCTAAGGGTGCCCTTAAAGGCATATAGGTATAGCGCTATATCTAAGGGACCCGCCTAAAGCCTAAGATTAAGCTATTATCTACTAAAACATAGGAGCAATTTAAAGACCGCTAAGATAAATAGGAGGCAAAGGACCAGTTAGCGCGTACGTAGATATTCGCTAACTATATATCGGAGATCTAGTAGTCGTTACTTAGACTCGATACCTCTAAGGCAGTATAGGATTATCTATATAAGAAGTATACTAGTAAAGGTAGGTCTACTAAATTCATACTCTACTAGGAATATATTACCCTTCGCTACGATAGCAAGGACGTTAAGAAGTTCTATAATAAGTATAAGAAGAAGCTCGGTGCCTTAAAGGATACTAAATTAGCTATTAGCTAGTATTAGGCTATCTATATATTTATTATATAGATCTCTCTATTCTACGAGGCTTTTGTATAGATACGCCGTAAGCAAATGCGCGCCTTAGAATATACTATTAATAACAGTACCCTTAACAACATTATTAGCGCGTTACTTAATAAGAATATAGCTTAACTAAACTAGGCCTAATATAATAGTTTCTTCGGTCTCTAGCGCTAGTAACTATAAGGTAATAGAAGTAGCAATAGTCGAGGTAACTCGAACCGTAGCGGTCGTAGTAGCCGCGGAAACAATAACAATAACAACGGTCGAGGCCGCGGTAGAAGCAACTAGAATAGTTATTAGTCTAACTATAAGAAGTGCGCCTATTATTAGGGGTTATACCCTTCTAACCGCTACTATACTAAGTACCCTTACCTAAAGGAGGAAGACCGACTACGTCGTAAACAGCAGAAGGCTAAGAAGAAGGGGGTATAGCAATAGTAGCAGCGTAGACTAACTGCTTAGTAACAGTAGTAGCCGCTATCTAGTTAGAATAGTGCTTAGGGGCTGTATGCGGCTAATGCAGTAATGCTACCCCGGGGGTGTTATTAGGCCTAAGCGACAATTACGCCTTTACTATAAACACTATAGTTACTATTAGCGACTAGGTTTCTACGGCTCTTACTGCTAGCACTCGTACTACTAATTAGGTTGTCGACTTAGGTACTAGTATATATATAGTTAACGACCCTTTATTGCTTATTAAATATAAAGGCTGTTACATTCCTATTCGGTTTAGTAGCAATACGAAGCACGCTACGATAGTTAGCATAGCTTAGATAGAGGTTGTTAATAAGCGTAGTATAAGCAACATAAAGTTGTCTAATATACTATATGTACCTAGTCTAGCAGCTAACCTTCTATCTACTAAGAAGCTTGCCGATAAGGGTTGTTTCTACCGTAATAATAAGCGTGTGCTATTTACGATAGTAGAGGGCAATAAGGTTACTGTCGCTTAGATATACCGTAAGAATAGTCTCCCCTACCTCTACATACTAACCTCTAGTCTAGATAGTAAGGTAGTTGCCCTTTTGTTAAAGAAGGGGGTGCCTACAGGCACTATAGATAAATAGCATCTGCGATATAGCTATATTTATTACCGCAAGCTACTAAGAATAGAATCTAAGGGTTAAATCGTTATTACTAGTGCTAAGAAGGACTTCCGCAACTGCGTTGCCTATCGTATAGCTATATTATACAAGGAATACAATCGGCTGCTACGCGTACGACTATCTACGATCTATTATATTGTCTATATTGATATAGTTACTATTACTAATCCTAGTCTGTTGTAGGAGCGCTATTTTACACTGTTTATATACGCCAAATTAGGCTATCGATACGAATATACTAGTACGCTTAAGTTAGGGGCTATAGTAGCTATTAAGGACTATTGTATACATATCCGTATATAGACTAGTTACTTAATCCCAATCTACCGCCTCGATAGAGGGGATAAATACGGCGGAAATTAGCTATTAAATTAGGCTCGAGACGAGGGCATTGTACTACAAGTTACTATACCTTATTCTTTAACTTAGAATAGCCTTGCTAAGGTTAGCAATTATATCGTGTATACGACTACGAGAAAGATAATACTATAGGCTAACCTTCTAAAGTCTCTATAGCTATATACTATTGCCTCCGCTATACAGGTCCTTAATATTACGCTAACCGCTAACGTAGGAAGCCTATATACTATTGTCGCTAAGGAGCTTAATTAGTTACGAACACAGCCGCGTCTTTAGCACCTTCGAGCGTATAGCTATACGTTAATTGCCTACGATTATAGTGTTGCTCGTAGAAAGAAGATAGACAGTAGAGGCCTTATTAGCAAGCTAGTTGGCTATACTAAGGGCTCTATAGACTCTAGAAAGTACATAATCTACCTACCTAATTAATACAAGGTTATCGCTTCTAAGGATATTTAGTTTATTAAGTCAGACAGTAACCCTCCACTTCCAAATAGTATAAATCTATACACTAATCCTAATAACCCTTCTAAGAGCGAGTTATTAGTATTAAGTCTATTATACTGGCTCTGTTTAATTCTATAAGCAACGAGGCTCCGTTACTAGCCGACGCCGCTAGTATAGTCTAGCAGCTTCTAGCCTAGCAAGAAGAGCCTCCGGACGAACCTGCTTAGCAAATGCCTAATAAGGTCGCTAGTCCGCTGCCGCTCGACGATAACCTACTAGCTATTTAACCGTCTTTAAGTAATAAAGAGGAAGAACCGGCGTACGATCCTTACGCTAAGAAGGGCGAGCCTAGCTAGTTGCTAGAGTTTAAGCGACTAAATGCTATAGGCGCTCGTTTAATATGTACTACTCGAAGCAACAAGTTAGCACGAGAGCTATTACGTAGATACCTAGCCGATGCTAGTATTAATCGATTAACTCGCCGTAGCCTAGCTAATATGCTAATAGCCTATATAAAGGGCTTTATAGCTGCCTGCTACATTGCTAAGTAGAGCGATACAGAAGACACTATTCCTATTCCGAAGAGTTATAAGGAGGCGACTTAGTTACTATACTAGCTATAATAGAAGGAGGCCTATAAGGCTAAATACAAGTCGTTAATAGACAACTATACGTAGGTATACGTTTCTCGGCTAGAAGTACCTAAAGGTCGCAAGGTTGTCCGTAGCCGATAGGTGTTTACTATCAAGCGTAACGCTAATAGTAAGGTAAGCCGGTTTAAGGCTCGTTAGGTCGTCCGTAGTTTTACTTAGGTTAAGGGATAGGACTACGATAAGACCTATACGGTAGTAGCTAAACCTTCTATACTGCGAGCGCTGTTTAGCCTAATTGCTTATTACGACCTAGAGGCTAAGTAATACGACATTCTAACGGCCTTCCTTAATGCACTTATCGGTAATAAGTATAAGATCTACGTCGAACAGCCGCACGGTTTTAAAGACCGTAGTAGTAAGGGCATAGTTTGCCTACTACTAAAGGCCCTATATAGTCTAAAGCAGTTACCAATACTATAGTATAAAGAGCTTCGGAAGTACTTAAAGAGCCTAGACTTCATTCTAATGATATCCGACGTCTGTATATTTAAGCACGTTAGCGGCTCGATTATTATTATCTACGTCGATAATATAATTATTATCGCCTATAGCCTATTAGCACTAGAAGCTATTACTTAGTTACTAAAGGAGCGCTTTAATATGCGAGAACTAGGCGACCTTTACTACTATCTCGGCATACGTATTATCCGCGACCGTAACAAGCGTACTATCTACGTCGTTTAGGACGCCTACTTAAATAGGCTCTACGAGAAGTATAGTATACGTAGCCGTATCGGACTAGCTACTCTAATAGCGCCTCGTTACGTTAAGACATCTATTTAACGCGTACCTAAAGGCTATACAGCTAGTGCCGCCTTTAAGACTTAGTATTAGGAGGGTGTTAGTAAAGCCCTCTAGCTAGCAATAATTACTCGGCCGGATGCTTGCTACACTACTAGCCTATTATCGCGATTTATTTCTAACCTAACCGAGGAGTATTATACCGCACTTCTTTAGCTAATTAAGTACCTAGTTAGCACCCTTAGCCGTAGTATGCGCTTCTAAGGCAACCTAAACGAAGACGACCTTAAGTTCGCTAGTTACTATAACGCCTTATAGACTAATAATCTAGTTACTCGTCGCTCTATAGGCGGCTTCTACTTTACTATCGCAGGCGGACCTCTATTATACAAGTCCGGCCGCTAGACGCTCGTTATACTATCGTTAACTAAGGCTAAGTATATTTAGCTTACTATAGGGGCTAAGGAAGCAGTTGCCTTAGCTCGCTCCTTAAAGGAAATTAGTTACAAGGGCTATATTCTTCTAGTTACGCTCTACGAGGACAATTAGTCCGCTATCGCTATTACTAAGTCTACTATTAATAGCCGTACGAAGCATATAGATACTCGTGTCTACTATATTCGAGAGAAGATTGCTAATAGTACTATTGTTGTCTAATAGGTTAGTATATATAATTAGATAGCCGATAGCTTTACTAAGCCGCTTAATAAGACTAAGTACAGCCGCTTTGTTAAACAACTAAACCTAGTAGATTGCAAGGCCGCTATTAAGAGCGCTGCAAAGCTAGCTACTAAATACTAAGAGGAAAGGGCCTTTGTTTGCTTTGTCTATGTAACCTAAGAGTAGTCCAGTTTGTTTACCTGTTTCTGCTTACCTAATACCCCTTGTTTGCTTTGCTAACAGAATAGCTATTATGTTGTTTGTTTTATTCTATAGCGATATATACGTACTAAGGGGGTGACTTAGAGTGTATGCCTAGGTGTTAGGGTCTATTACGTGCCTAATGCCTAAGGCTGCAACTGCTGCACTCTATCTTCGGACTTCTATATAGATTAGTCCTTCTTCTAATACATTAGTTACATTAAGTCTTTGTTAGGTAATTATCGACTATTAGACCGTCTATTATTGTATATCTAATAGCACCGAAGGTTTCGAAAGCTAACTCTTAAGTAGGCGGAGATACGGACCCGGGACTTGTCTCTAGTATTAGCTTACTAACTAGTAGCGGCGGTAGCGCTAGAACCTATATAGACGTTACTAGTAAGAATGCATTTGTTCTACTAGGCACTAGACCTAATAGCCTGCCTAATCAGCGAGGACTATGCCCTAGATTAAATGCGCTTACAAACTATAACTTCCTTAACTATACCGGTATCGTAGGCTTTAGTAAAGTCATTGCTATAACGAATAATAAAGTCTTCGGCATAGGCACCGACGTTGCTTTGCTAATTGCTGTAATAGGTACCTACTTTTCGGGAAATCCTATATAGCAGATGTTCTCTATCGGTTACTCGAGCATTTTAGCTACTTGTTACGCTAACACTAACACCTTCGAATATACTAGATCTAGACACTCTTAGCGGCTCTATTAGGCAATAGTCAAAGCGGACCTATAGAGGCCGCTCGATAACCGGAGCGGCCTCTATAGGTAGGTCTTATACCCTTGTTTAGATACTAAGTACCGAGAATAGTTAGATAGGGCGGAAGAGGCCGCTTAGTAGAGACTCTATCTCGTACCTATAACGCGTAGAACTCGTATAGAATCGCGTACTGCTAGAACTGCTCTACTTTATTAGCATTCCTTAATAAATCGAAGTATAATATCTTAGATAACGTTCCGTTTAGATTCTACTATTCGCGCTAGTATAACTCCGGCTCTAGTAACGGCCTCTCGAGAGCCCTCTATAATACCGAGCGACTTCTATCGTAACGACTCGCTAGCTATTAATACCTTGTCTCGTACTAAAGTTAAGGCATAATAAGCGGCCGTAAACTATACTAATAATATTGCCGCCGCTTAAAGGGCCGCTATAGCGAGAGCGGCTTAGTTTAAGGTATAAGAAGAGATAGAACTAGCGAAGCTATTAATCGAGCGTCTATCGGCACCTCCGGATACTCCGTAACCGCGTACGCTAGTACCGAGTAAGATACCTACGCCTAGCGATAGAGCAAGTTAACCGGCCGGTCGATTAAAAAAGAAGAGCGCTTCTTAGCGGCGGAAGACTACTATCGCTACGCTTAAAGAAGAAGGTAGAATAGTAACTAGAGATATAGGTAGAGACGGCCGCAATATAGCGAATAGTAGACTTCTAGTACTAATACCGTATACTAGTAGAAAAGGTAGATTAGACGACGAGGCGTTATTACTATTAGTACGTACCTATAACGACAATTAGTACTAATTTAGAGACGGCTTCTAGAACGTTATAACAGCTCTCTTCTAGTTAAATAGTAGACCTGTCTATAATAGTCTCGACCGTATAATAAAGACCTACGAGATATAGTAGCGTACCTACTTCGCTAATCTGTCTAAGACTAGCACTAAGAACGAGACTAATATAAGTATAGTAATAAAAGATTAGATAGCGTTTAAGGATAAGAAGAAATAGGAAGAAGTCGACTATAAGAAGATAGTATAGGCGGCTACTATAGAAGTAGCGAAGTCGTAGATTAAGCGAGCGAAGATAATAGTTAGATAAGGAGATAAGAAGACAGTAGACACGCTATTAGATAATAATAACGAGGTTGTAGAAGATTAAGACCTAACTATAGATTATCCGGACAAAGATATAAGCGACTTTAATAACGCTACCGACGAAGACGACTCTCGCTTAATAATGCCGCCGCTAGTACGACTAAACTTTAATCGTAGGTCTTTATCGTCGAGTGCAACTCCGACTCTAACTCTATTAGGTAGAAGAGATAGGTCTACGAGTATACAGTTAGCGCGTAGATAGAAGAAGCGCAAGAAGCTAGTTAACGACGAGTCGACTAACTTACGGCCGGATTTAAAGAAGTTAATAAGTTATATAGCTTCTTATATAGATAGTAGCGTATAGTAGGATATAGCAACTACTATAGCTATTACTAAGTTAAATAAAGGAATGCAAAAGATATAAGGAGATCTCGCTATAATAATAGGATAGATAGTATAGAAGTAGAGATAGGAGTTATAGGCGTAGGTATAAGCGCAAATAAGCGAGTTTAACCTCGAGAATTTCGACTTAGGTCCGCCGATCTAAGAAGCTTACCTTAGCTTCGGGAAAAGTGCGACAATATAGTTAACATTCGGTATATAAGGCCTAAATAAATTAGAGATATACTTTCGATAGTAGCGAAACACCTCCTATAATTAGTTTTATTATACGGCGTATATATATCGTAAAATGAATTTTTGAATCTAACATTCGGTATCTCTATATAAACTTCTTAGCACCCCCGGCGATCTCCGCAAATGCGACTTCTACGACTTCGAGAGGCAACGAGTATACCTCGTTTATACGGCGGCGACGTTAATAGACCCCGCTATTTAGTTGTTTATAGTAAACTCTATAGTAAAGCGAATCTAATCGCTCTCCGAGTCGGTATCGTATAGATTGTCGATATCTAGGTACTCGTAGAGGTCCGGAGGCTTTATTAGGTATTTCTCGCTCGTTTAATTGTAACCTTCTATATAAATATAGCAGTTAGTTAATAGCGTACCGACTATTATAAAGGCTCTAACTGCCTGCTTGCCTATATATAGCTGCCTAGTAAAGGTGTTATATGTCTAAAGGCGTATAGTTTAGCCGAATGCGTACTCGACGGAAATACGTAGACTAGCGAGGTATTTATTAAACTTCCGTTGCTTAGTAGTAAGTATCTTACAGCTAAGATAATGCTTATAAGGAGCTATTATTCCGAAGGCACTATAGTATGCTAGATTACTATAAAGATATAGCATTCTGCGGCCGGTACGAGGGTCTATTATTCTTCGAAGCCGGCGTATAACGCCTAAGGTCTTATATATCTCCTAATCGTTATTAGAGCTATTATATAGCCCTATTATTAAAGATATAATGCCGTCCGGTGTAACAATACCTTAGTACTTGCTACTATGCTCTTTCTTATACCTAGAATACTACTTTCTCTAACTAATCGTAGGTCGATAGAATTCTTAGAAATAACCGTTAATAAAGCCCTAAATCTACCCTCCTAAGCCGGCTCTTCTTATTACCTTAGCGAAGTATTTAAGGCGACTATAGCTTCGCAATCGTAGGTGCTATTCGATAAGGTATCCGAAGCGCCGTACGAGATAGTCGATTATATCCGTAAAGACGATACTTAGATACGACTCGTAGTTACTAAAGAGAGGGTAGGCGATAGCCTATCGAGAGGGCTAGGTAAGGCGCTATAATACTATATAGAGCGTATATTCCGGGCTCGGTTTAATGCTATTACGGAAGTTAATCGTAGTAATATCTAATACCTCTACTAATTCTTTAACCTAGGCTTTACTAAACCTAAGGCAATATTATTAGTTAGCTTAGCGACAACGAGGTGCCGCTATACTTTAACTTCTAACCTAACTTCCTATACTAATATTCTACGTACCTATAGTATAGCGGAAACTACGACTTCGGCTAGCTATCTAGCATCTACTCGAAGAACTCGTACTTAGTAAGCTCTCGTTTCTACCGCGGCGGCTTATCTAATTCGAACACTATTACTACGAGAACGATAAAGATTAATATCTCTTAGTCTTCTAGCGTTATACTAGCGAGTTTGCAATACCTCGAAAGTAGTTACCTTTCTAGCAGGTAGGCGCGCCTCGAAAACGCGATATCTATACGGATATACGCGACTAGAAAGAGGTAGATCCTAAGGCACGAGAAACGCACGGTTCATTGCTATATTCAGCTATTCCGAAGGCTCGTACGACTATATCCGTGGACCCACCTGTTGGTGTAGGTGTTAGCGTAACAAGTGGCTAAAACGCTCTGGTGGACCCGACCCCAGAATCCAGGCACCTCTGGGGCAATCCGGCGATGGGGGCCTTCTGGGAACACCTCAAGGCATAGGCTACAGCCACAACTTGATCGAGGCAGACGCGTCTGCAACGAGACACGATCTCTACGAGACGGGAGATGCGTGGACAGTCGATATTGAGCTCTTCAAGCAGATGTACAACTCTATGCTAGAAGGCCAATTGATCACCGCAAAAGACATAGCACGATACAAGGTCCTGCGCTTTAAGCAGAGCGTCGCTACGAACAAGTACTTCTATCATGGACCGTACACCGGCGGTATTGCAAGCAGTGCAGGATACTTGTCGACACACGAGATTCTGAAGTCCATCTTCGGCGTCGTGGATCATCCTAAGCCCTTCACCTACACCTTCGGATGGGAAAGGATTCCGTACAATTGGTCTCGAAGGGCTGGCGACTACAACTGAATAGAGCTCAACCTCGATCTCGTCCAATTCCTGCTCTGGTATCCGGAGACTCACAGCATCGGCGGAAACACAGGCACTGTGAACTCTTCCGCAGGCGTCGACTTCAGCGATCCATCCACCCCTTTGCTTCCTCTTTGATTGACAACGCAACGCCAAATTTCATTTGGCATATTCGCATACATCTATCCAGCGGATATTCTCGATCAGAGTTGCGTGTGATCATGAACTACATGTATAAGTATAGCTTGGCGCGTGAGACGATGTCGAGATCAGTCCTAGGATGCCAAAGAGAAGAAATTCTCGCTGCTGCAGACACGAGGAAGCATGCCATGCCATGCCATGCCACTTTTCTTCTCCCAGAGCCCGTACAGCTTCAAGCCGACGCCGGGTTTTTTCGGGTCTGAAGCTACGAATCAAGCTGCGATGAAAAGACATTTCACGCAGTTAACAGGCCGTTATGGTGAGATCTACGCTGCGTCTTTTGTGGACAAGCACGGTACTGAGATGGCGACTGGCGATGCCAAGAAGAGCACTGGGTACGTCGAAAGCATCGGGTACAAGCTCGGCGACATCACCGCCTTGGTCGATCGGGGCGATTGTTTGGGCGGTCCAGGTGGGCAAGATACATATACTGCCCCAACGCCCGTGTGGTGCCTCGGTGTTACTGTATAGGAAGGTGGAGGATGCCCGTCATCATACGCTCGGTCGCTGTTGCAGCAGGAGCCTTTATATGTTCGAGTAGCGGCCTCTTACCACCGTCGTGACTGCTTTCTTCGTCTTCCATGGCATTGTGGGCTGTCGATGGTCCCCCGACATACGAGGCAGCAGCGCATCGATGATCTAATTGGCTTGCCTGCTTTGACACATAGTCGATCCTCGGCGTAGCTTTTCTTCCAGCCAGTCCAGTCAAGATGCACTCAAGAATGCTGCAAGCGAGTATGGAGGGGGCGGGGAGAGGGAAGGGAAAGGGGGAGGCCAAGCACAGATGGTGTGAGTAGTAGTATGCATGTATGTACTTCCGGAGCGGAAGTGTGGTGAGAGAAAAGCCCCGGGAGTACTGCTGTCCTGTACTCATTGCAGAGCTACCAGTCCCTCCTACTTGGCCTAGTCTTCTTGAGCCATGGATAACCGCAGTCTGTAGGAAAATTTCATTCTCCGCCAATCCTCCCTTCTCGAGTCCCACGGATCCAAATCTCCTCCTCAAATGTATGACTGACTCCCCTCTCCTCTCAGCCAGTAGATCCCAAGCAAGCCTGAGCAGCAGGCTGAATCTCCTCCTCCAGCATCTCCTTCGCCACCTTCAGAGCCTTTTCCAGCTGCTCGCGAAGCTCAATCTCTTCAGGTTCCTCCGTCTCCTTGCTCGAGCACATCATGTGGAACTTCTTCTGAAGAGTGCAGAAGAAGTCCTGAGTGTGATGGGTGAGCGCGTCGGAATGCTTCTGCAGGAGCTCCTCGAGCTGTCTCTTCAAGAGCTCCACGGATTTCATCCAGACGCCGTGACCGATCTTCGTCACTTCGCGCTCGAATGACTTGAGTCGGTCTGTCGGTGTGCCCGATTTGCCCTTGATCTTTTGGCAATGCTCGTATATGGGCTTCATGGCTTGGACAATCGGGTTGTCCGTATTCTCAGAGCTGACTGCTGCGAGAATATTGCCGAGTTCCTTGCGCATTTCCTTGTTTGCATGTTCCACGAATCTCTGGACGTTTCCCTTCTCTACGAAGAGGTAGTCGAGGTATGGCTGCAGCGCCATGAGGGTGACTTGGGGATCTGTCTTGATATCGTAGATGATTCTGCTCAACAACTTGTGAATAGCCTTCGTGACGTTCTTGGGGACGTTGTTGACATTCATCAGGAATTCCTGGAAGAAATGTCTGGCTTCGGCACATTTGATGCTGACGAGCTCTCCGTTCCAGGAAGTGTTCACGCCTTGCTTGCCCTTGCCTTTCCGGAAGCCTTCTTTCTTCATGATTGCCAGATGCTGACTGGTACCCCAGGTCTTTGCCCATTGCCTAACGAGAATCAGCGCCTCGTCAGTCCACTCGAACTCAAAATCCCGCATGGGACTGATGATGTCCATCTCGACCTGATCGTGCAAGTCCTGCCAGATTTCCTCAATGGCCAACCCACTTAGCTTCTGTGGCCCCACGATGATCCTCTCAACTTCATCCTTTCTCGCCATATGCGTCTTGGATATGTACAGCTTAAAGCAGCTGAGCAGACTGGGAAGTTGAGTCGAGATCGTATGCCGAGCTTCGTTGAGCTTTGCCTCAGCGGGCGCAAGGAAAAGATGTCGTCGTAAAGCCGGGATATTCGTGCCTTCGACACTCAAAGCTGGAGGATTCGGGTCATCGGTGGCATATCCTGCCTGGGATTTCTTGTACGCCGCATTACCAACACAAAATACAGGGAGCACCGCAGGATCTGGCGTGAGCTCGGCGTACAGACCTTGCATCTGACGGACGACCATTTTGCTTCGCATCTGGATGCGGATTTCTCGGTGCTTGAGCATATTGTCGCGAATTTGGCTTGCAATCCCGTCTTTCAGCTCCATGAGTTCGTATTTCTGAAAGCCCTTGGAGCCCTTGATCTTGCTGGACACGTCACTCTTCTGCTTTTCCAGCGTCTTGATCTGATTTAGGATCTTTTCCATTGCTGCATAGTCCTTCTTCGAGCCTTGCACTTCGGTTTCGTCATCGATGCTGTCGGCGTGGGTAAGAGTAAGAATGGTCCTCGCCGAACCTCGTGTCATGAATCCTTTCGTGAGGCTGTCTCTGATGAATTTATCATCGTCGGCACGGCCGATTTCTGCAACCACCATATAGTGAGTGCATTGACGCAGATGAAAAGTAGCGTTTGCCACGCGGGTTTTGTTGGCATCCGAGAGTCCAGGCAGGTCGACCAGCGTAATATTGTGTTTGAGCAATGGAATATTCAAGCCGAATTTGATCTTGCTCACGAAAGGCCAAAGGGAAGTGATCATGTCACCATCTCTCTCTTCGACCGTGTACATGTACGGTGCGAGCTGCCAGAGCAAATTCTGAGGGGTTGCTGCTTCTTGCGAGAGGAAAGTCTCCTTTCCAAGTCCGGAATTCACGATGTCATCAGACCAGTCGCAGAGCGTGTCGACGATATACTCGTCATCCTCGCGCGTAGCAGCAGAGAGGAATTGGTCGGCGGCAGCATATGTTGCGAACTCCTCTCGACTGTTGAAAAGTGCTCGGAATGCCGTGATTACAGTGCGCTTCACCGCAAAATCCTCAACCGTGCGCTCGCTGTCCTTTGGACCCTCGCCATCGTCTTTGGCGTTGGCATTGTAGAATTCCGCAACGTGAGCGCGGATAATGGCATGGCGCTCCTCCGGAGAGAAGAAGTAGACTTCAGCAGCGAAAGGCTGCGTTTGGTTCGGGAAAAGGTAGCCGAATTCTTGCACTACCCAGGTACAGCTGCTTCCAGCATCGCCCTGTCCGAGTTAGTGAAGATTCTTGCCGAGACAGCAGAGAACTTACCTGACGTGCAATCATTCCAATACTGAGAATCGAGTTGATGAGAGAGCTCTTGCCTGGAAAAGTCAGCGATGTGAATGAAAAGGTAAACCCGTCGACTTGCCTGATTTCATGTCGCCAACGAGCGCAATTCTGACTTCTTCTGGAAAATTGGAGGTGGTTCGTCGCTTGATTTCCTCGAGCAGTCCGTCAATGACTCCATCACGGTAGCTGCTGTCTTGGATTGGTCCTTCAAGCAGTTTGATGAGGCCGGAGACATTTTTCATGAGCTTCTCGTATTCTGGTGTAAAAACAGGAGATTGTGGCATAGCCTCCGATTTCGCGTCGTAAGGTGGGACCATATCAGCAGCATCGCTACCCTCGGACGCCTCTTCAGGGCTGCCGACATCGCCGGCCATGAGTTCGTCATAGGAGCGCTTCATGTTGGCCACGCGTTGGAAATGTCGCTATGAGAATCTCGAGATTGCCGGTGGAGGTTAATGTTGTTGGATGGTGTTCGAAATGTCGAGATGGTTGATGTTGATGTTGTTGTTGGATGGTGTTGGAAGATAAGTTGAGAAGTTGGAAGTTCAAAGCCAGAGATAAATACCTGTCTAATCCAGGGTGCAACGAAAGTGAGGAAAGCGAAGAAAGCGACACAGTCCGTGCATCTAGAGCTTGCTGAAGTGGAAGTGAAGTGAAGCAGGATAGGTGTGGCGGTGTCAAAGTGGCGACATTGTGGACCACATCGAATTCGGATTTGAATTTCAGCTTGAGAAGTTGGACTTGTGCAAATGAAGGCGCGAGAGTGTCGTGTAAGGTCTGCGCAAAGGTCAATTTGAAGTATAGACGGCTGTATTCAGAACTTCACTTGTGTCGCAGGCACACTTTGCCAAAACCCATCAGCAGCACCCAGCCTTCTTCGCAGCATTCGGATCCTTCCTCCCCAACGTCACCGCCCTCGCACCACCTCCCGCCCCAGGTCCTTTAACCCCACTTCTCCGATCATTCAAATCATACTTGCCGGCCTCAATATTCTGATAAATCCTCTCTGCAACCTCGACAAACGCCCTCTCGACATTCTCCCCACTCTTAGCCGAAGTCTCCACATACTCCATGACCTTATTATCCTTACACCACTCTTCAGCCTCTTCCCTCGTCACCTGTCTCTGATTGGGCGCATTGCTGCCCCCGGAAACGGTGGAAGCATGGGCGAGATCCGACTTATTCCCCACCAGAACAACCACGATATCATCCTCTGCGATCTGCCGTAGATCATGCAGCCACGACGTGACCGACGCGAACGTACTCCGTCTCGTGATATCGAAAACCAACAACGCGCCACTCGCGCCTCGAAAGTACGATCTCGTGATCGACTTGTAAGTTTCCTGACCCGCGGTATCCCATAAACTCAGCTTCATATGCTTCTGTACAGGTTCCTTGGGCTGGCCTTTTGACTTGGAACTACTGGCGGGAGGTGGTGCTGCTGCTGTCGATGTGGAGGCTGGATTGTTGATTGTGTATCCTCGTTGGAGGGAAGCGGGAGGTCCTACGGGCACGATTCTGGAGCCGAATTCGACGCCGATGGTGACATCGTGGTGGCTTACGAAACGACCTTCGCACAGGCGGATCGTCAGCTAAGCACTGGATATCAGCTGGATTGGCTGAGAGGGTGATAGGAGGAATCGCGTACACTTGATTTCCCGCTGCCGCTGTCTCCCAAGCTCACGATCTTGGCGATGAAGTCGTAGGCTGGAGGTTCCGCCATGGCGGCGGGTGATGAAGGAATATTGTCGCGTCGAATGTCGCTGTCGCTATTTCAGTCGTTTGAAGGATTGGCGAGGATGGTAGTTCGTATGGGTGATGTGCAACAAAGAGTGGTGCATGTCGATGTGCTGTGCTGCTTATGACGATTGACGAAGCAAGCAAGCAAGAGGTGTCTGTATATCAGCAACTCGCGCTGATTGGCTCGACCCACTTTTACCCCTGTCCCACCCCCAACCTCGAGTTGCTAGCAACTCCCCTAATGAATTTGGTTGAAATATGCTTCAAATTCCAAAGGGCTTTAGGAATATAGTAATTTCTACTAAGGTTGCTAGCGATAACTTAATAAAGCTAAAGTTAACGTATAGTATAGCTATTACGCTAAATTCGAGGTATATCTACTTGCTCTTGCCCTTATTGTCTATTGCCGCTGTATCTACCGCTACTGTGTCTACTGCCGCTGCCGCTACTAAAGGTCCTACTATTAAATACTCGTTACTATTCTTCTAATAGAAATCGGCGGTCTCTAATAAAGGTAGACGCTTCCTTGTAACTTAGTTGTAATATATCGATTAGCGACTATTATAGTATATGTTATCGGAGGTTTAACGGCTACGGCGTAGGTATATAAGCGGCGATTATTAAGTAACGAAGACCGCTTAGTATAGTAGGCGTATATAGAAGTCGCTATTAGTAAAGGACATAGCGTATAACGTCTATTAAACTGCCGTCGTTTAAAGAAGGTATATTATATCGATAGGTGCTATCGCCTATAGCGTACGTATTCTAAAGTACCGAGTTAGTAACCTGCGTAGGTTTAAATAGCGACGGCGGAGGTTACTAAAAGAAAGGCGAAGGAGGTTAGTAACTATATCTATACTAATTAGTATAGAGACTAGTCGCTATATACTCTAGTACGCGTTAAGTGCCCTCGCCTAGCGCGAACAAGTCTCTTACCTATTGCGGTTATTATACTTAGTAAGGTTATTATTACTAGTAGTAGTAGTAGTAGATTAATAGTAAGGCGCCTACGCCTATATCGACCTATGCCTATTAAATAGCAAACAATATGCTATCGTTATATTGCTATTAATATTACTAGAGCTATTATAATAGCTCTGCTGCCGCTAATAGGCGTATATATTTAGTGTGATACTGCTTAGTAATGTTATCTCGATAGGTTAATAACAGGTGCGCCGGCACTACCGTTTCCGCCTTCTTAACCTTCTAATAATAGTCGTAAGTAATGTTCTCGATAAGGCTGCGAATTAGTAGGTAATAGTCCTTTAATATAGTACTAGCAATAGTATTAACTTCCTCGGCCTTATCGTCTTCGTATAGGTTATTATCGTCTACGAGCTACTCGCTATAAGTCTTCGGCGAGTTAATATCGCTATTAAAGCTATTAGAGTCGAAGAAACAGTTAATATAGTAATCTACCTATCTAGCCGTTATACTATCGCCTAATATCTCTCGATTATACTAAATATGCCGATACGGTTAGTACTACTACTTCTAGAAGAAGCACTAGCATATATCGGGGAGTTAGTTATCGAGTTATAGTTGATATTGTATCTAATTTAGAAGCCCGGTATAAGCGCGCTTCTAAGCGAGTCGATATTGCTTAGTAATAGCGGTTTAAAGACAATATAGCAACTCGTAGAAGCGCTTACTACTGCTATTTAATCTAGTAAATATAGGAAGCAGGTTATCCTTTGCCGCCTCCTTCTTCGTATTGTTATACTATCTCTTATTAATCTCTAGTATATATATAAGGGTGCTAGCGAGCGAGAAGTTAGCCTTAATCGACTTAGTATTGCTCTTAAAATCGGCGTAGTACGCCTCGACTAGACTAGTTATACGCGCCTAAGCAACGATAGTTAGCAATTACGCTTAGAAGAGGAGGTTATAGTAGTTATAGTAGTCTTATACGCATTAATAAGGGGTTGCTCCTCCGTTCCTTAACTGTCTATATCTAGGCGTACTTAGCGGACTATTCTTGTAACAAATACGAGTATAACTCGTCGTTCTTGCCGTCCGGTAGAGCGTTAATAGCCTATTGTATTCTAACCTTAACCTCCTTATTAGTCTCTGTATATAACGACACCTAAACTAGCTTCTTATAGACCGCCTTATATCGACTTTTAAGTAAAAATTTGCGGCGAATAGTCTATAGTAAGTGCCGCATATAAAGATAGGTCCTAACTAGTAGAAATATCTCTCGGATTGCTATCTATTCTAAAGCCGAGTTATTAGTGACAGTGTATTGTAACAACTAACTACTAGGTTTACTATAGTTAGCCTAAGAAGCTAGATAATGTAGTGCCTGCGTATAGACCTAACTATGCTTGCTTTTAAGTAATGCGTATACTACTAGACGCTAGCGTGTGTTGTCGTTAGAAATAAGGATATTAAACAACTTCTAGTCTATTTAGTTAACTTTATACGTGTCGTCTAGCAGTATCAATTTGCTATACTTCTTTAGCAGCTTAATGCTTTCTTCTATAGCCTATACGAAGCCTCTCCTAATACTATCCTTTATTAAGACACTAAATAATTAATAATACAATTTATGCTCTTTTGCTACTACTATAATACCCTATAATTGAAGCTTAGGATCGTCTCGTTCGGCCGGCATCGTAAACCGCTTGTCTCGGTTATAATAGGGCGACTTCTTAGCGGCATTATATAGTAAACCGATATCGAGATAAGGGATACCGAGATTAGGTCTATATTAGCTATTAATAGCGTCGTACGTCCGCCTCGCCTATAGCGAGTAGTCTATTTGCTTCTTAACCTTATCTTTAACTAGTTAACAAACCTTGCGGCTATTAAGAAGGTCGAGATTATAGGTATATATATTAGCGGTTATATAACGACGAATACTAACCTTTCTAGTAGGCTCGTTCTAGCGGTATTCTACTATTATAACAAAGCTAATAGAGCACTCCTCTTCTAGTAGTTTAAAGGCTCTTCTATCCTTAATACCTACTACTTCTCGATTTAGCTTATTACGGCGCTGCCTTTCTATATAATAGTAGTATACCTTCTTATAGTATATACTATCCGTACTAGGCTTGCCTAGCTTCTTAGTAGACCTCCTAGTATATTAATTGCTATATAGGCTCTATATTAATTTCTAGCCTTCTGTATCGGTGTTAATGTCTTCTATAAGGTTAAAAACTCGCTAGCGAAGCTGTTTAAGGTTACTAATACTGCTAGGCGTAGATAGGTCTATATTAGTAACATTATGCAATACAGGGGATATAGAATAGGAAATATAGAAGGAATTTAGGAATAGTAGAGATAGGAGATAGGGGCGAGACTATTCGAGAATCTACTCCGGCTATTCGAGAATCTACGGACCTAGGGCCGCTCCGGTCTTAGTAAGACTATATTGTTAGTAATCTATACTATAGAACATCGCATAGCAACTTCTGATGCCTATACTAGCTACTTATTAGAATAATAGCGTAGGAAAGAAGAATTAAGTAAATAAGTAAATAATAGACGTAGAATTCGATACTATAGCTAATCCTAACTGTTCTAGGTATACTGCCTGCCTAGTAAATAAGGTTCTACGACCCTCGTATTAACGTATAGCTCCTACTATACAATCTCAGTATAATCTAGCATACCTGCTAGCGCTGTAGGTACTAGTAGAGCCCTCGGAGCGGGCGGGGGTCCTTCCTAAGTAGGTAAATAAGTAGGTATAGGGTTTCTATCGCACTACCTATACTTATAATAGCTAGAGTAGTAGTCTACGTTATCTTTAACGCACTTATACCTCCTATAGGCTATTTTGCATATATAGCCCTTACGTAAACGTTCTCGTAGTGCTAGTAGCTAGAAGGGCTTAATAATATAGCTATCGATAGCGATAGTAAGATAAATAGCGGCGGCGGCGGCAGTAAGGTTAAAACAGCGATTAAAACAGCGATTAAAACAGCGGTGACGGTGAGGTCTAGTAGTAGAGAACATAACTAACAAATTTGCCTTAGGCCTCCTCCGCGATCGGATGCTTAGATTCTCGAATAGCCGGAGTGGATTCTCGAATAGTCATGCCCTAGAGATGGTGGCAATGCCAAGATTACGATTTGTATTGGGTTTAGCGGGGCTTGGTATGGTTAGAGTTGCTAGCAACTCTAGGTGCCCCGTGCGGGCCCCACAGTTGCTGGTATACAGACACTCCAAGCAAGCAAGCAACCCATGTCATGTCACTGCTCGCGTGGCGTGGCGTAAGGTGCAGGTGGCTAGGTAGGTAATTTTAGCGAAAGAGCAATTGATGACACCTCTAAACAATACATTAACCCACATGCCTACAACGAGGAAATCCAGTCATCTCCGAAGAATGAGTAGGCCGTCAATGGATACACGTTCCTCACCACCATCCCTCTCTCCGCCATGTCTTAGCCGGACCGAGCAGCGGTGGTCAAGTGAGGTCAGCTAGACGCATCGCAAGTATTCCAATCACATGTGCGGATTTCTTCATTAGCTTCAGAGTCACATTCATCACATTCACATGCGCGCCAGCTTTTTTACAGCCGAGCATTGAACACGACTTCCTCCCTCGTTCCCCTTCAACACCCACAATCCTCGCAACCAACCTCTCCCCTTCCACCCCTCAATCACATCCAGCAATCCCACAACCATGCCTTCAGAACCCCCAAACAGCCACAAACGCAAACAACCCGTCGTCTGCGTATTGTAAGCACCCTCCCCTCCCCCTCTCCCTCTCCCTCTAACAAATCCTCACATTCCCCAGCTGCGGCGCCTCCCCAGGCCTCTCCCCCTCGCACCTCACCGCCGCCCGCACCCTCGCCCAAGCCCTGCACAACTCCGGCCTCCACCTAGTCTACGGCGGCGGCACAAAAGGAATAATGGGCGAGCTGGCCAAAACCCTCGTAACGCTATCGGGCCCGGAGAGCGTACACGGCGTAATCCCCGCAGCACTACAGGAATACGAACGCGAAAAAAAACTCTCACCGGAGGAAGAAGAAGAAAAAAGCTACGGACGCACGACGGTGGTAAAAGACATGCATACGCGAAAACAAGTGATGGCGCGAGAGGTGATGGAGTCGGGGGAGGGAGGAGGGTTCGTGGCGTTGAGTGGGGGGTATGGGTAAGTCACCACGACGCCAAAAAAAAAATCCTACATTTACATTGCTGACTTTTTTTTTTCTTTTCTCAGTACGTTGGAAGAACTAATGGAAGTCACAACCTGGAACCAACTGGGGATTCACGATCGAGGGATCGTGGTGTTTAATGTGGAAGGGTATTGGGACGGGTTGCTGAGTTGGGTGCAGAAGAGTGTCGAGGAGAGATTTGTGTCGAAGGAGAATGAAAGGATCATGGTGGAGGCGAAGACGGCGGAAGAAGTGGTGGAGAAGTTGAAGAATTATAGGAATGCGGAGGGGAGGTTTGGGTTGGAGTGGGAGGAGAAGTAGATGGATTACATAGTACGAGAGGGATGAGGGATGAGATAGGAGTGGAGTTTTTGGAAGGGTAGAGCACTGGCAGTCTGGGAGGCTGAGTGGATTGTTGTTGAAAGCATAGCGTGGAGTTGTGGCGAAAGATAGAGTTGGAAAAGAAAAAGGACGAGTATAGAAGCTTTCTTTTGACAGCTACACATATACACCTTATCCACCACCATCCTCCTCTCATTCCCATCCCATCCCACCCATACACTCACCCACTCACTTCCTTCTACTCAACAACACACCTCCTCCCCCTCTTAAACTCCCCAACCCAAACCCTCCACCCGTCCCCAAACCCCCCAGAATCCTACTCCGGCCACCCAAAAACCTCAAAAACACTAACAACACTCCACCTCACCCCCCAAACCGCCACCAGCGCCGCGACAACCTCAACCAACAACAAAACCACAATACCCACCAACATCCTCGGCATAAAGACCCGATACAACATCAAATGCCTGCGTAACCACGCCGCCTCCACAACCGTCGCGAGCGCAACAGCCGAAAAGAACAGGATATGCGTCGCGAGCGCTCCCGCAACCCTTCCCAAAACCCCGGGGGATCGGGGAGGGACTTTCCACAACACGACGGCCGGGACAGCGATGGTGCATAGAATCTGTGCGCCGAAAGTGTTGAGCACGACGAGAAGGGGGCTCCAGGGGTAGAGGACGGATTTGAGCGGGATGAAAGCGGATTCCCATTGGATGGTGACGAGAGCGGCTTGGTGGCCGGTTTTGAAGAAGTGGAAGGAGCCGAGGAGGGCGAGTAAGATGGGTGCGAGTGGGGAGCGGCGGAGATTGCATGCGTCGATGATTTCGAGGAGGTTCAAAATTTGGAGGAAGCAGAGGGCGAGGGCGCCTTGGCCCATGGGTTTTTGTAAGAGGAGGAGGGCCAGGATCCAGGCGCATGGGAGGAGAAGGTAGCGAGTGCCGTGCGTGTTGCTGAAGCCGTAGATGATGAGTTTGGGTTTCGGTTTTGGAGCTCCGTTGACTGCCGTGAGGACTGCAGAGGTTTCGTGGCCTTCGGTGATGGGTTTGGAGTATAGAGCTGGTTGTGAGTCTTGACTCTCTTCACGCTTGACCATGAGAAGTGGTGAGGCGAATATGTAAGTCCCGTATCCGGCAGCGACGGCGACGACCAAGACACCCTGAGCAAGGTACATGCGACCAGTCTTGAGGATGGATTTTGAGATGTCGGGGTACCAGTCGCCGTCATCTGCGGCATCCAAAGCCCAGAAGCTCGCGACACCAACTAAACCGAGTCGCAGGACTACTCCATTCCATATCACGGCAGACCCATGGTAATTGGCCGATCGATGGAAGTACTGTATGATGATGTATGGGAGCGAGATTGCCACAGCAAACGGGATAAGAAGTTGCCATTTGGAGGACGTGGAAGATGTTGCGGAGGCATAGTACGATGACCTGCAGAACGGCATCTGCTCTTCTCGACATAGTCGGGACAGTGAGCTCAGTCGTGTTGCGACCAGGAACGAAATGGCATTCAATGCTCCCTGCGTTTGATCTGTCGGATGTGTTTGTCCAAGCGATGCTCCGAGCATAGCTACTCCAAAAGTGGAGAGCAGGAAAAGGAGTTGCTCATCTTCCCATATCGTGAATGAGTTTGACGCAAATCCTACGCAAAGTAGAAGAGTCGCCAATGTGCTGAGCATACCCCAGAACGTTGTAGGTACTGGCACTTTCAGCAATTCTCGGGCAGGCATAAATCCAAGCAAGGTTGCGATGATGCCTCCGATCGCAGCTCCAAATGCGACAAGCTGAATCAGATTGAAGTTTGGCAGGTTGCCTAACGCCGCCCCAGTAATTGCGCCAGCTGTAGTGCCTATAAGACCCCAGCCAAGTAGAGGAGGTGTGAGGGCAGCACGATCGCCTTTAATGCCTTGGGCGTACATGAGCACGACTGCGAATGTGCCCAGTAGTGCAACAATACCCATACTCATGCTGACAAGGTCAAACCGCGCCCAAAGTGATTTGCAAACGCGCAAGTTCTCCGTTTGGTAAGCCATAAACGCCTCCCAAGCTTTATGAGCTGTCGCTGAGCTCCATTCAGCATTGGCCACTTTCCATAGCTTTTCGGCTGCTGATAGAGTGTCTTCGCCCATCTTACGCGCGTCTGCATATTTTGCTTGATATCGGTGTATTTGCGCCGCAGTCAAGCGACTGACCTCCGCCAGGTTGGCATAATCAGGTTTCATCACATCGTTGGACCCATGGAAAGCTTCTTCGATAGGCTGCCCGAGATTGTTGAAAGGGATGGGAAGACCGAGGAGAAGCGAAAGTGTGGGTACCAGATCGATTTGATTTACAGGCCGTTCTTTGGCAGTCAAAGGGGGGTGCTTCGATGCTTCGTCTTTGCGGCCAAAGATCCCACGTTTGGAGTACATCCACAGCGCAGCCTCAACCTCGTCATCAGACTCGCCACCATGATCACCCTTGGTGTCCATGCCATGATCTCCCATAACCACGAGCAGCGTTTCATCGTCCAGATGATCGACAAGCCGTCGAAATACATCATCCATTTGTTTCAGCTTGTCCGTCATCGCATGGTGGTCCGGGCCATATCGATGTCCAGCATGATCAACGCCCAGATAGTGTCCAAAGATGACATCCCACCGACCTTTCATCGACGCATCCAAGAGAGGAAACAAATCTTCATTGACGCCATTGTCCACAGTATGCAAGTCCCAGACATTGAAAGAATCATACGGCCTCGTCAAATTCGGCTCAAAGTATCCAGGAAACAGTGAATGCCATGTATCGTCTCCGAGATGCACGACCTTCTTGCCAGCTTTGTATAGCTGCTCCACAATATTATCCTCATCAATCGCTGTTCCCGCAAAGTTCGATCCTGCATCTATGAAAGTGGGCAATGTACCAGTCGTAAGTCCCTTCAATCGCTGTAACGTCGTGGTCGGAGGGTCCGCGATGAAAGGTCGCAAGAAGGCGTTTTGCGGCTCGTTGACAGATGTCTCGTATAGGATGGGAAATGCATTATGAAAGTGGTGTGGTTGGTCGTGTCCAGGCTTGGGTTGAAAGGGAACAGTAAAGTCGTATCGCAACGCGTCCACGACGATTACCACGGCTTTCTCGAATGACTTTGGATGCCAACATCCCCGCTCTTGCGATCCTGGCGTGAGGTCTGCTCTATGGGCGAGTGATATGGGAGGTACGGCGCATTCGGATCGGTCTTGAAGCACGAGTCGGGAGAGAAGGAAGCCACGGCAGAAGAGGTAGATGGCAAGCGCGTGGAATGTGCTGTGATTTGTTAGCTAGAGGATGTCTGATCGCGCATGTCAGCAATCTCACAGGATCAGCAGAAAGAAGGCGACGACCAAAGCATGCTGGGCCTTCCACTGCACTGACAGCGTCTTCTTGTCAGACTTGGAGTCCGCCGCTGTCACCGATCCATTCTCCATATGCGACAAAGTAAGAGGGACGGGGGTTTACCGAAGCATTACAAGAGAATTAGACATGAATATGTAAGGAGATGTAGGAAGAAGCCTTGATCTGGCCAGTGGCAGGTGTTTCGTGAAGCAACCACGGCCACGATCTTGTGAAAGCATGCAGGGACAGCACGCAGCCCGCCCCACGTGGCTGACTCGTGCCATTGGAATGCAGTGGAGTCCTCACCAACATCAAATCATGTCTTCAGACGTACAGCAGGAACACGGCGAGGGAAAGAAAAGGATGATATTTTCTTGCGCATGAAGCATTTCATTCAGCCGAGTCCTGGACTCAGTACCAGACAGCTCAGTGTAGGATATACACGATGACGATACCAGTCTTAATCTACGAGAGACATCAGAAGCAGAATCACCAAACCTCTCGCTCTCGCTCCACGCTTTGTGAACAGCACAGCAAACTTGGGGGCATTTTGCTCTTCCCACTGTCGTGATTGAATGGCAACAGAAAAATGCGGGCGGACGAGCGAGCTTCAAACTCTGCTCTGCCCTGCCAGCAACGACAACACATTAAGTGTATGTAAGTAAGATGCACTTCGGACTGCTGCCGTCGAGGCTCGTCGTCGTGGTGTCCAGTCGTATCTGGGGTCGAAATGTAACGTAAAGTATGTAGGGCGGCGGTCTGGAAGGCCGCCGGAAAAAAACAGGTACAATGTCGCCGACTTTATGTTCATGCGCCGTCGTGAGGAGCCTGCTGCTCCCTTCCAGTGGTATGTGTATGTGCGTTCCGATCTGTGCAAAGACATTTGGTCGTAGACGTCGTTAACAGCTGGGGTGTTTTCTTCTCATCCGCATTGCCTAGATCTTCTCGAACTTGTCATAGGTAGGTGCATTTCGCGCCTTCTCGACAAGTCCTCCGACTCGTTCCAGGTCGACAGACTCAAAACTCCTCCTATCCTGCTGTTGGTACGCGGGAAGGTTCTCTAGTGGCTCGAGACCAACCCCAGTATCTCCCACACGAACGACGACCACCCGGCCTGACACGCGCTTGCCAGTATCGTCATACTCCTCCGGGAATGTGATGTGGATTTGTGGAAGCGGGCCGGATGGCGGCGCGCTCGAGTTCTCGACGAGGTTCTGCTTCTCCTGGTAGACGTATATCGACTCCGAGGGTCGTGCCATAACACGGCGATGTGACGATGATGCTGCCGATGCGCTCGACATGCGCTTCTCGTCGTAGATGGGTAGTTCAGAATTGTTTCTCTGCGCTCTTCTTCGGTGTCGCATGTACAACAGGCCGGCGACGAGAAGGAGTGCGAGGATCAGCAAGACCAGAAGCACTATCAGAAGGCTGATCATGGTGGCTGGTGGTCCAGGTGATGGTCCTTGTGTATCCCTTCGGACGAGATTCGCAAGGTGGTTGAACATGGTTTTCTATAAAAGAGTGACTGGCTTTGATGGTGGTCGACGTCCGGTGCTATTGTCGTCGACTCGAATGCGGTTTATTCGGACGGACGAGCTCGTGACAGCGGTGCCGGGTTGCGTATTCGTAAAGATTGTAAGCACTGCAACACAAGAAGTCAGCCATCGACCGTTCATGTGTTTCTCGCGCCCGTTCCACCGTTCAAATCCAGCGGTCGCAGTCGACATCCAGGAACATACCTGTAGGATGTCCGCGAGAATGGGCCGGCGCAGATATAAAAGAATGGCGTGCGTTCGACAGCTGAAAGAGTGAAGCTGTCGTCGCAGCGAAGAAGAGTCTTCTTCTCCAGGCTCCGTTGGCCCCTGGAAAGGTGTTGTTGTCGTTCAGATTCCAATCTCATTTCCGCACAGACCACTCGAAGATCCGCCAACCCAATAGAATACAATAGCCCGTCGAACCCATGCTCTAATAAAAACTTGCACCTGCTGTGCTACTACCACTCACACCTCGACCAAACAATAACGCCCTTTCCTTCGCCCTTCTACGGCCCTATATAAAATCATACCCCGTACCGTTGCAGCCTGCAGGTATATCTACTGTATAGAATATATAGTTTCTCTGCCATACGTCATTAGTCCAAATCTCGACGCCATCCCAAATCTACTACGCATCTATCAAACCCAACAGCCAATTAATGCGCAATAATCAAGCTCAATAATAAGAGTTTCTAACAGCACTCCGACAATATATTCTAAATCCCAGCAGGAAAGCAACGAAGCGTTCGCATTCATATCCTAGCGCCAGGTTTGTAAATGCATCATGCTTGCCAGCGATAACACACATTCTAATAAGAAGTCAGATTTGAAACACAGTAGAACTCATCATGACGTGACGTCTTTTGTCTGTCACTGACCGCATGCGTTGCTCTGGAACTGAACGAAATAAATCAACAAAAATACACTCGACTCCACTCCCTGGCCCTACCGACGCCACTCAATGCCACGAATGCCTTTCCCTTTCCCTTTCCCTTCCCCTTCAATGCGCCTTCCTTTTCCTTGTTGCGTTATCCAAACCCCATGAAGAAAACACGACTCCGAAAAAAACGCTATGCTGAATCCTTATGACGAGGTCCGGGGTAGTGATGAAATTTCGTTCCTCGAACATCCGACTGAGTCCTCCGTCGACTGCCACTGCTCTCGTTATTCCGCAGCTGCTGAGCAAAAGCGGGAGGGTGATTCCCACCAGCTGAACGTGTGCCGCCGTAGCCCAAGGTTCGTGAGTCTGGAGTGGCTGGCGCGATGGCGGGTCCTTGATACCGTGAATGGGAGGCAACTGCGGGCGGCTGTGGTCCTAGTCCTGGAGGCGGAGGTCCTAAACCATTCGATGGAGAGCCAGACCACCCTGGATGCGGATGAGGGGGAGGATGTTGTGGTAGGCCATGCGGCAACCCATAAGCAGGACTAGGCGGATGCGGTGGCCACGGTGGAGCTGGGACACCTGTAGGTCCTGGCAAGCTGTTGCGATGACCACCATAGTATTGACTGTGGTCGTAGCCATAGCGTGGTGATGGAGGTGGCGGTGGCGGTCCTGGTTGAGGAAAGGGTTGGTGCTGGGGCTCGTTGTAGGCAGGCAAAGGTGGGTAGGGGGTCAAGCCAGGATGGGTGGTGTGCGGTGTTCCAGTAGGAGGTCCACTCGTGAAGGCAGGACTTTTGGTGGGCTCGCTGGTATTGAGCCGGAAACGAAGCATCTGGCCACCATCCAAAGACGTAGTGTGACTCGCGCCTTTCCTCCTCTCCTTGTGTTGCTTTCTGCTTAGGCCATGGCGATCAGATTTGTTGGGTTTGAACTTCTCACGACCCTTCGAGCTGTCTCTTTGCGGCCGTCGAGCCCCAGCACTGTCGGCATTGCTTCCATCCTGGCTGCCACTGACATCTGTGTTGGTAGACTGTCCAAGAGATGAAGCTCTCGATCGAGACTTCTTGGTGGGTACTTCTAGACTCAGGTCTCGTTTGGGCTCCTCTGAAGCCTGGCCTTCGTCCTGTGATCGAGAGTCCGCTGCGCCTTCGCTGCTTGGTGGATCCCACTTCGGTAAAGTCTTTGGAGGATGGGGAGGATGCGTAGGTGATTCGTCTCTCGTGAATCCTTGTGCCGGGTGATTCTCTTCCGCTGTGCGCACGGGTGTCGACATTACGGAGGTCGTAACAGCGGCAGGCACCGGAGAGGCTTGTAAAGCTAGCTCCAAAGCACCAAGCGGCGAGGGCTGCGGAAACGCTTCAAGTTGGCCCTGAGATGCCAGAGCAGGTTGATGAGGCGGAGTCGATGCCCGAGGTACAGGACTCTCTTCAGGCTGAGTAGCGATGCGCTCAATGCTCAGCGGGCCTCCGTGAGAGAATTCATGAACGGCGCGATCCTGATATGATGGAGTTCTTGAGTGAGAGCCTGCCGTAAGTGGACGTCTATACTTCTCCCAGGAGGAATCTTCTCTGTCAGACGCCCCGGGTACGGACGACTCTGATCGGTCGCGTGCAGCGAAAGACCGGTCGAAGGAGTCGGTCGACGTGTGTCTCTGATGCTGTGGCGAGGCGAGCAGCGGGTGGTTACGGCTCTCGGAGACAAGTGCTTGCAGCGGGACCGGTTGGGCTGTGCTACCACGGCTAGAGCGTGAAGGGGATGGCAAGGGTGGCTCGCTCGGCCGCGACTCCGCCATGCTTTGCTGTCGGAGAGGTGACTGCAGCAGAAAAGGAAGCCCACCACGCTCATTGACGAATCTCTCAGTCCTAGGAGACATGGTCGCTCTGATGGGACCTTCATCTGCCTCGCGATCAAAGCTAATCGGTGGACGTAGAGGTGGAGGCGGTGGCATCTGAGCAGGTATTGGCGGCCCAGCGAGTGGTTGTCTCAACAGCTGGGGTCCAAATGGTGCAAACGGTGGTGGAGGTGCAGTGGCCCTGATCGAAGGTCGCGAAGCAAGATCTCCGAGGAGTTGCAAACCAAGAGCTTGTTCGTTGGGAATGACCGGGACTTCTCGCTCGACAGAGGCAGCGGCTTCAGCAAGAATGGAGGTATTTAAGAGATTCTGACGCCTAGCCAGAGCTGCTTCACGAGGTGTACTTTCCATAACTGTGAACCCCTCAGCAGCATCTTCTGTCTTCTCGTCATCGTCCAGATTTTTAAGCATGTTGTGCATGTCAAGACGACGTTGAAGGTCGAGTATCGCATTTTCGGATTCCATTGCGAGTCGACTTCTTGAATCGTACGCAGGATCCAGTGCAGCCTTCCTCTTCCAGCGATAGGCCATGCCTTTCAATTTCGGTATGACATCTTCGTCCTCGTCTTCTGTCTCGTACGAAGCGTTGCCGGCATCCAGTTGAGCTTGGCGTGCAATCAGAAGGAAATCATGATGTAGCGTGTCGACTTGATGCTCCCGACGATTCTCAATGTCGTTCTCGCACCTTGCTTTTCGGACTTGCCTCTCCCCATCCAAAGTCCTGCGCAGCTGTGCTTGGCAGAAGTCCCGCTGGGCCTCCAGTTGCGCTTTCCTCCTCGTCAGATACTGGTCGAGTAGTTGCTGCACGCCTTCCTCTTCTTCGTTTCCACAATATTCGGGAACCTCTTCATGCACGGTCGGTTTGGTCTCCAGCTCCTCGACGGTCTTGTCCGCAATCTCTGCGAGAATCGGCTTCAAGGCACGACTGATGTAGCGATATGCTTGTTTGAGCTGCTGTTGACGCCGCATTCGTGCTTCGACTTCAGGGACGGGATGTTCCGCTCGTCGTCGACCATAAGGCCGCTTCTTGCGCCCAACGTGACTTTGGCCGTCTTCATCTTCCACCTCAACCTCATCTTCATCGAGGCCGTCATCGGCGTCTGCAAGCTCATCGCCGCCGTCTGCTTCCTCGCCTTCCAGCATTTGATCGGCGTCGGCCATAATAACGTCAACATGCTTGGATGGATATAGAGGTGTTGGCTGTGATTCATCGGAGACTGGTGAGACAGGTTCCGATGCAGCGGGTGTAGCTGCTGGAGTGATCTCAGTCGATTGTGTCGCAGCCAGATAATCTTCAATTTCGTGCTCATCCGAGCTGTCGTCTTCTGATTCGCGATCCGACAAAAGCTCCGGTGGGACGACAACGACACGATCCTTGTCGTCATCCAAGTAGGCATCCAGATTCGTTTCGCGCATGTGTGGAAAGGCATATTCCAGGCCGTAAGGAATTCGTTCTGGCGTGGGCGGCGTTGATCGCTTACGCTTTCTTGTTGGCGAAGGCGATTCGTGCATCTTGGCTTGTTTCGACGGCGATGAGACGGGTTTGGATTTGACTTTGCCAGATGGACGGTCTACAGATCGATGTGCTCCGAAAGACGTGTTGATGTCGGAGATTCCGTTCATTAACTCGCCAGGGTTTCGTCTGCCAGGGTTGCCAAGACCCGATGAGGCAACTGGACGAGCATCGTCAAGTGAGGCTCGACGAGCATCATCGTCGCCGACGGAGCCATTCGTGGAAGGGGAAGTATTTGCATTGACTTTCGCTGCGGCACGGCGTGTTGTCATATGCAATGGCTCTGACGGATTTAATCGTCCAACGGGTTTGCCATCCATACTCGATCTCCTCCGGCCAGCGGTGCCCGCGGTGGATCTGGGACTCATCGGAAGTGAGTCTGCACGCTGTTAGTACCTGTGCAGGCCGTGCGGGAGGGTGCAAGCACTGGTCGTGGTGGAGGAATATGGTGGATGAAGGGCAGGAAAGAAAGGCGGGAGAAAAGGGCTTCCCTGCACGGTCCGTGGCGACATACGCAGAGGGCGATCGTTGGGAGTGACGCTCTGCACGCCCGGCAACAATTGGCCGACAGCAGCGCAGTCGACGATGGCATCAGTGCGCTTGCTGGGCGTGCTGGAGGCGACGGTGGGGGGACGGGGGGCGGGGGGCGGGTTGCAGATGGGGTGGTGAGGCGGAGGTGCGGGAAATGATCAACGCCGCTTCACACGCAGCAGCGACAATGCACGAGCATGTCTGCCTCGAGCGTGTGAAGTGGCAGAGGACCACCGAAAACGTACCTTGACCAGCGGCTGCCTCGCAGGCCCTTCTGCGTGGCGGAGGGAGACGTTGGTGGTCGATTTGTCGAGCGAGCGGCGTTGCAGGGCCAAAAACAATCAATGAAAACGTTTGGTCGCAGGCGGCCCGTCCGTCATGCCACCATCAAGCCCACGACGACGAGGCCAGCGCCGTCAGTTGCATGAGCGCCGGGGCTTGGTCGAGCGCGAGTTGCAAAGGGAGCTGCTGGTGCTCACGTTCGGTCTCACTGATCAAAGGTCAACCGACACCCTCACAACGAACCCAGAACCAATCGCATGTCTGCATCGGGTCTAGTGCCCGCCGGGCTTTGCCTCTCAAAGGCAACCTGGAGTCTTGGCACGCATCGAGACAACAACATCACCGTCCATACATGATACCTACACATCTGTCTTCGACTCACGCACAACAACTCCGAAATGCATCAACTGCCGCCGCCGACGCTTCTTGACGTGAGCCACCCGATCCCATGTGAATTTGCCCAGTCCATTCGGGGAACGTGAACGGTGTTGAAAGGATGGAACGTAACAGGACTCTTCGTCATCTTGCCACAATCATGATAGCGTGTCATTGATGCTCTCGTAGCTCGCTATTTACAAGCGTGAGCGCAAAAAGCTCATATGCTACATATTCTCTCACGGGGAGAGCGAGCCAGCCTGCCTGGTGCGGCTTGGTCTTGGTGCTACGCAAAATACCTCCTCGAATCACTCTCGCCGTGCGCCTGCTAGCGATCACGATGCAGGAATTGATTGCTCCTCCTAATGCCTGCTCTCCACATATGATGACTTGCGTCGCTCGGTTCTTCAAGCACCTGGTGCATCTCCTTCATCGTCCGGCTGGTCGAACAAGAAATTCGCCGCCAATTCCTCGTTCTTGTCGCACGCGAAATATGCTTGAATGACCAAGTCACGCTCGAAGCCGAGGCGGCAAAGCTTTTCCATGTGAGCCAACGTTCATCAATCGAATTACATTCAGGTACTTACTCGCTCAATAGCCTCACGCTCCTCCTCGGTGACCGATATTTGCTGAGCGCCTGGTGGAAGAGCAACGTCGTCCCCAGAATCCTCAGCAAGCAGCTGCATGAACTGCTCTGGATTCTGCGTGATGATCTGGGCCAGTTGTGGGTTACCAGCTGCAACTTGCTGAAGAATGGGCTCGAGCATTTGCGGCTGCTGCTGCACGACTTGCCGAAGCTGCTGGAATTGTGGGTTGTTGCGAAGAAAATCAAGTGAAGCACCACCTTCTGGAGCTGCAGCAGCCCCGCCTTGAGCACCAGCTCCTGCTCCTGCTCCTGCTCCTGCTCCACGAGTAGCTCCACCTCGGCCTCCACCACCCTGCGCAGCCGCCTGCTCGAAGAGATTGACAGGCTCGTCACCTCCAGCCTGGGGTGCCTCAGTTGCAGTCGCAGTCGTAGCGGCTGCCTGCTGGGCTTGTTGCGAAGCTGGCCGCGGTGCTGCGGCAGCTGGACGCTGCTCTTGTCTCGCGCTCTCCGGAATGCCGTTCAAGAGGTACTCGACTGCACGATCGGGGTTGAAGAAGGCGGCGCGCATTGCAGCATCGATCTGGTCTCGAGGAAAGCCCATTGCTTCCATATTCGCAATTGCAGCGGCACGCTGCTCGCCCATGGCCAGCGCAGAAGGGTCGTTGAACGTCGCTACATCGCCGGAAGCTGTGGACGCTGGAGCTGGGGACGGAGTAGCTGGTGCTTGCGAGGCGGCTGACGTTGCGAATTGTGCTGGAGCGGCGGGCGGAGCTGGAGTGCTTGCTACTGACTTAGCTGGGGTTGCTGGGTCGGCGGGCTTCGAAGGCGGTGCTTTTGGCTGCGCCCATGTCAATATCACCATCCAGGCTCGCATATACGTGCCTCCCATATCTCACCTTCGATGTCATGCAGACAATGAAGCCCTTCTCTTCGATCTTGTACGACTCGATGGTGTTGTCATCTTGCAAAATCTTTCCCGAGTAGATGAGCTTCTGAGTAGACGGCTCCCATCCCTTCTCCTTGCTGATCTTCTCCTTGACAGAGCCGATGGTGTCGGTCGGCTCGGCCTCGACTTGGAACTTGGCCTGCTTGAGGTCCTTGAAGGTGAGCTTCATGCTGGGCGATCAGCAGAGGGTGATGATGTGCGCGCGCTTGTCGCAACTCGTTCTGATGAAATGTGTTGCGAGGTTGGAGGACGATGGCGTGGGCAGTTGTGTTGAAGAATTTTGATGTGGAAGAAAATGTTGCAGTTGCTAAAGTGCAGGTGTCGCAGTCAACAAGAGTGGCGGAAGAGGTCAGTGTGGGGCTGGAAGTTGGAGCCTCGCCAGGGTCCCAACTCAGTTTGTCAGTTCACTTCCGCTTGTGCTTGTGTTTAAGTTTATCTCCTTGACAACAACCAGACAACCAAACCACATGCATCCTCGCCCTCGCTGCTGATGCCTCGTATTAGGCCGCAAGAGTTCCTCAAAGCCAGAGCAATCAACAAGGCTTTGCTGTCGCTGCTGCCCGTTTGCCGTGACCTCAGCTCCGCTCGAAATGAATTCAGATGGATGAAAGAGCATGCCATCAATGTCTCACACCGGCTCGGCTATAATGATCACCCGACACTTCTCCGAAGTCTCGTGAAACGACGTGCTCAAGGCGAGCCGTTGCAATACATTCTTGAGAGCGAGTATTTCGGCCATCTCGAAATCAAATGTCGGCCGGGAGTCCTCATACCGAGGTGAATCTTCCGCCTGCTTGTCTGGAATCCATGCACTCATTGATGCCATATCATAGACAGGAAACAGCGGCCTCAGTGTCCTACCTTGCACAATTAGTCTCTCGAGCTTCGACCCAGGCAGACGGCAGGGGCAGGCGCCTTCGAGTTTTAGACCTCTGTACGTGAAGTGAACCGCACACATCCTCACTCGCTGTATAAAACGAACCGCACACATCCTCACCTGCTTTATCAAACGCCCTGTTTTACGAAGCTAGCTGGACCACTTGAGTTGCAGACAGTAGTGTCGTATCGGAGCTGCCTGTGATTTGTGATGCTTACGGATCGGTCTAGGCACTGGAAGCGGATGCATACCTTTGCTATTCCACCATGAATACTATCGTAATGAGCACGCCGCAAACGACGAGCTGCAGCTGGTCGGAGTTGATATATCGCCGACTGCACTAAGTCTGGCCAGACAAAACTTGCTCCATCAGATCGCACTTCGACGCCACAGCTACGAAAGTGTCAAGCAAACCAGGTCTTTGAACAGCATCGGCTTCGTCCAAGCAGACGTGCTTCGAAATAATCAACATAGCCCATCCGAAGCCCTCGAAGAACATGGACATCCACCACCACTTCTCCATGCCCTTCATCGCCTCAACAGCAACGACAATCCTCCAAATTTCGACATCCTAATTTCAAATCCACCCTACATATCCCCGAAATCCTTCAAGAGCACAACATCACGGTCTGTCCGGAAATTCGAACCAAAGTTAGCTCTCGTCCCAGATTCCGCAGACGAAACGGGCGACCTCTTCTATCCTCATCTCCTCCGAATTGCTTCCGAAGTGAATGCAAAAATGGTGCTTTTCGAAGTGGCAGATCTAGAACAAGCAAAGAGAGTCGCTGAACTGGCGCTGAAGGACTGGGAGAATGTCGAGATCTGGAGAGATGATCCGAACGTGGATTGTGATGGAAAGGGCACGATTGAAATCAAGGGGAAATCTATTCCCGTCCGTGGAAGAGGTAATGGTCGTTCTGTATTTGCATACTCATCAGAGGCGTCAAAGTGGCGATTGCCTCTCCAGACGGGCGGAGATACAATGGTAGTATCAGATCCAGACTGGCCGGATGTTACACCAGACAGATAATGGAGCTTCAAGGTCACATCAACCAGACGTGCGGCTCCGGCTAACGAGATCATCCCACAACTGCCAATGAACCTGCACAGCTCTGACCATCAAAATGCTACTGCTCACCTCCCAAAAACAAAAGCACAACGACAGAACGCTGCAAATGCTCTCGGCAGACAGAGACGGGAGCAGAATGGATGGAGTAGGATGAGTCCTCCGCAGAAGAGAACACTAGGACACCAGAGCAAACTGCGCGATTTCAGCACGGTGGGGGCGGGTCCAAAAATCTTAAAAGGAGGGAAAACCAGAAGGAGGAAAGAAAGAACTACGCGGGAAAGAAGGAAAGTACTACGCACCTCTCGCTCCGTTATTAGCACACGTCGACCAGATGCACGCGACGGACCTCGGTGGCTTGGAAGTCGATCAACTTATAGAAGCGAGTCGACTGCAGGTGAGGTGAGGTGAGGGAGGCAGGAGAGCCCACCGCTATGAGAAGTGCACGGCTTTCGCTATCCAAAAGTTATGAAAAAGATATCGAGTCACACCCACTTCTACTATTAAAAATCTACAGCCATACTATTCGAAGCACATAGCTCTATCTACGAAAAAGATATCAAAAAGTTGTGCAAAAGATATTAAAAAGATACGGCTATACTATACGAACTATACGCCTTCTACTATCAAAAAGTTATTAAAAAGTTATTAAAAAGTTATTAAAAAGTTATTAAAAAGTTATTAAAAAGATATAGCTATCCTGTTCGAACTGTATAGCTCCAACTATCAAAAAGTTCTTAAAAATTTATTAAAAAGATACGGCCATGCTATTCGAACTGCACGCCTTCTACTATTGAATCTATTCTACCTGATGTGGCTTGCGTGTATAGAACTGAACTTAAAGTCGCTCGAGATGTTTAGCGTAAGTCGAACGTCCGCAGGTGTCATCGAAGCCCTCAGCCGTTCTGTCGAGTAGAGAAGAAAGATGGTGCTCACGTAAATCGTCAGCCTTGCTTTGGTCCGTCCTCATTAGCAGTGCTGGGTGAATCTGTCCAAGTATCATCGTATCCTGTCCTTCTTCAGTAGAAATGGCCCTCGTTTCTTCCTCCACTGTTGGCACACTGCACGGAAATAGACACGAGGTATCACAGACAAAGGAAACGCTTTCGAGATCTACGGTTACAAAGCACTCTCTAATACGATCTTGCTCTCCCTGGCGCTTGTATTCTGTTCTGTACAAGTTCGAGCGCTAGAGAACCCGACCGCTCATCTCTCCTCGCATCCCCGAGGCTTCTATGACTTTTCGAGATCTGCAAGAATCTTCTTACCCTTCTCCTGTGCCTCCTCGAAGTTGCCGACCATGTAGAAAGCACCCTCGGGAAGATCGTCACCCTCACCATCCATAATTCTCTTGAACGATGCAATGGTATCCTTGAGCTCGACAAGCTTGCCCTCAATACCAGTGAAAACCTGAGCGACAGTGACCCCGACACACTCATACGATAGCGTGTA